TCGAGGACTGACTGTATTTTGTTCTGGCTAACACCATGGTTAATGTAATCTTTCTGTCATTAAAAACCAGAATTCAACAAATTATTATATACTGTGTGACATCCCCATTAGCCAGAATAACTGGTGCAGAACTCTTTCGGGAATGAGAGATTTCTGGGTATGGAGACGGATTTCTCCTCCCTGGAAAAAATCACACACCCTCAGAATTTTTCATGGTGCTAGGGAAAGTTTTCCTCGAGTCTACATTATGCATCACACACGGACAGACAGATCTTTATTTATTTACACTTTAAAAATGTCTAGTAAGCTGTTGCTGAAGGATCCTGCACCTGTGAAGGCCAAGGCACTCAGGAAAACCTTGTCTCTAGAGATGAAGCTTGACATTGTGAAGTGGCCAGGCTTGTTCTTAATGATGTGGCGAGCGTTATTTAATTGATTTTTAGTTATTTTATTAGTATAGGATTCTTTTTTCTGTAATACTGTACAATACATGTGGGCGTCAGACTGGCTGGGAACGTATCCCATTGAACCCCATGTTAAAATGATCCCAATTTACGATATTTCAATTTGCGATGGGGTTTTTAGGAATGTAACTCCATTTTAAATCAGGGGATATCTGTACTGTACACAGGTATATTGTACTTGCCAGAGGATGCTGTCGTCTTGAACTTGTGATATAGGCAGGCTAAATGGTGATATGATGATAAAGGATGACTTGCCTTAAAGTGCCTTTGTCCTGTACCAACTACTGTAGCAGGTGTTGCTAACTGTCACTCTCCTCTTCTTCTATGAAGGAGGAATTGTACATGCACTATATAATGTACATACACCCTCTACACACTAGCATACACTGTCCACTCTGCTATGTACAGTACTATCACCCTTACTAAATGTACAGCACATAATTGTAATAACTTTTTATGTATTAACACTGCTTGAATGGTATTCTTGGGTGATTATATGCTGGTAAAGTAATGTACAATACAGTACTTCACAACACAGATCATATGCAAAAACAGCAGTGAGTGAGCAAACAAACTTGAACAATGGCAGCTAACAATAAACTAAGAATGTTATGATACAAGAGTTTGAGGAGATAGGCTGTGATACACATCAATAGTAGCCAATTGTAGCTCACGAGCACTCTGAGCCTACCCACCCATGCTACCGGAACGTTTCCTCATGTTGTAAACATGATGCAGAATTTCATTCCCATGCCCAGAACAGAGATTTTCTCGGAATTTCCTCAGAATTTTCCCGAAATGCAAGTGATTCCATCCTCGGAAACTAGTTCCCATGCCCGAAATGGAGATTTTTCCTGGAATTTTTCAGAAACCACAATTTTTTCCCCCGGTTATTGGAGAGTTCTATGGATCGAAGATTCTGGCTAACGGGGATATTAATATTTTTATACCAAACACTCATTATTTCCCTCACTGTTTTTCAATAAAGTTTAATTAAACTTATGCTTTTCCAGATCAATACAGTACAGTATAGATAACACAAAGATTCTTCATTTTCTCCAGACATTTTTCAATTATACATCTTACCACACATCCTCTTCCCTTCATAACACACACTGTTCTTCTCCTAACATACACTTGAATGAACCACAATTCACTCAAGGAGGACCCTATCATACACCTTAAATGTGCTTAAACCAATTCATTTATAATTTTTACAATCACTCTTATCATCTTTCCCTGTGAACAGGGGACTATACTCATTATTATCGTGCCCACTGTACAATCATCACCCATTTTCTTGCTTTTCACCCCCCCCTTTTCAACATTCCTACAGTGACGCCATCCCGGCCTGGTGTCTTACTCCTATTAAAGCTTGCTTGGTAGTCAGTTTCACCTCTTCAACACTTACCCTATTTTCTTTTAGTCTTTAAACTCTTCAATTCTCTCCAAAACACATAGGCTAACTCTGCCCCCTTTTCAGCCATTACATTTAGGACTTGTAAAAAATATTCACTCCATTCCTGCATTACTTTGAAGCTTAAACATCAATGACCAGAAGAGCATCAAATAACTATAAGAAAATCTTACCAGTACGTGGCCATAGTGCATTACATGCAATGCCATTATCTCTGAATTCTTCAGCCATGCCTAGCACACACATAGACATTCCATACTTGGCCATGGTGTAAGCAACATGGTTCTGGAACCAGCGTGGCCTCATGTTGAGAGGAGGAGATATATTCAAGATGTGTGGGTTTGGACTCTTTAACAAGTGTGGAATGCATGACTTGGATCTGCAAGAAGATACAAAGTTTAAATTACACAATAAACTACACACTTCTAATATTTAAAAGACATTTACAAACAATATCTAAGGAAAAGAACTGATATATGAGGCACTCCAGCCTAGACCATGAAGAGCAACAAACAGGTTGAGAAGTGTTTCTTATATGTTTATACTTATTTCAAAATTGCTAACCATTAAATGTGCTTCCAGTTTTTGTTTTGTTTTACATTTGTCACTTCTCTATTTCTCTATTTCTCACCTCGAGTGCCTCCTGTCGTATGAAAAGTCTGTGAAGAGGATTTATGATACTGAACCTTAAGTGGTAAGATGAGGAAGGAGGATCATGAAGGAAATGGATTGTGTCAATAACTGAAGCATCAATGTCTTGGATTACATCACTGGGGCAAGATAAGAACAAGAACAGAAAACTTGCTCTGTAGAGAAAATTGTTGTCAAAATGGATTGTATAGATAAGTGATGAACCTCCTGCTGACACATTTAACTAAAATTGTGGGTATATGAACTTACATACAAAATCCTGTGAAGGTTGGTGAACTTGTACAGAAGTTGGTAATTGTGAAACTTGTTTCATGAAATGTATTTTGTTATGCCATGAGGTTACAAACACATAAAAAGAAAAGAAGCTATAAGGTAACCTGTCACCCATTATTTATCACCCTGCAATACTAAGTCTGAATAAACAGACTAGAGACAAAATTGTAAGTCTTAAATAACCTCCATCACTGATAAAGTAACTGACATAGTAATGAATGGGTCTCAGAACTTCACGATTATTAAGTACTGTACCCTGTATTAACTTAAAAAGAAAAATAATAACCAATACATGATGTATACAGTATCTAGAATCTAGAGACTGTACAGTGATAACAAATGTATGCATCTCTTACACAAGGTAGGTTCCTCTGGTATTAATGTGATGCATGAGATCATATTTTTTCATGGAAGTCTCCTGGGTTCCTGTGAGGGAGATGGCGCTGGCATTGTTCACAACAACATCGATGCCACCAAACTGCTGTATGGCATTATCTATGGCCTGCTGCACAGATCCCTCATCCCGCACGTCCACTACACATGGGAGGGCTTGTCCTCCTGCCAATTCAACTGTAGTGGATAAATACTTGCATTTACACTGTCCATTTATTTGCTTTTTCATGTAAACAAAACTTTAGAGACATATGAGGGTAAAGTGAATACCCTGTACTGTATACAAAAGCAAAGTACATGTATTAAGAATTCCCATTGAAAGTAAACTCCTAAAGCAGCACCTGGGATCAGCTGTCTGAGAGAGCAACCTGTGTCACTTCTTGTGAGTGTGACCCCTAGACTAGAGATTCCTTCTAGTAGCCCTCTTAAGACTATCTTCCAATAAAACTGATGCATCAACTTACTGTATTACAATCAGGAATATAATGCATCCCCCTTCTCTTACCTTCCCATGTTTATTTCATGTGAAAACATATAAAACTACCTTCTGTCAATCACTCTACATGCCATAAGGCCACTGTTGCATGCTGGTATGACCTGATGAGGCTGGTAAGATGTCTTATAACAGTTTCAAAATAATCTCAGATCTGACAAAAAACACTGTACATGTACTGAACTAATATGATAACATAGTCTGAGAGAAAAAATTATTTCCTAAACAAGAACCAGCTCCAGTCAACACCTCTGTACTGGTTTCCATCCCAAAGAACATAAAGCATCACTGGCTTCTTCAGATAACTATTCATTACTGAAGATCCATTGTGTCAGACACTGATAAAACTTTTGGGGGGTTATGTACTTCTTCACTTTCACACACATGAACTTAAATGTCCAAATTTCAGTTTGCTCATAAGACTGGCTACTGTCACTGTGCACTAGGCTGCTGTCACTGTGCACTAGGCTACTGTCACTGTGCACTTGGATACTCTGTCACTGTGCACTAGGCTACTGTCACTGTGCACTTGACTACTCTGTCACTGAGCACTAGGCTACTGTCACTATGCACTTGGCTACTGTCTCTGTGCACTTGGCAACTCTGTTACTGTGCATTAAGCTACTGTCACTGTGCACTTGGCTTCTCTATTACTGTGCACTAGGCTACTGTCACTGTGCACTTGGCTACTGCCACTATGCACTTGGCTACTGTCTCTGCACTTGGCTACTGTTACGGTTCACTTGGTTACTCTGTCGTTGCGCACTTGACTCTGTCACTGTGCACTGTCTTACTTACATAAACTATGCAGAATAACAGGTACATATTGAATGCGAGTTCTGTTCTAATATCCTTTCCTCTTGATGCATCAAAAGTGTCAAAGTAGAACACACAAAAACATTTTTTTTACTTGCTAAAACAGAGGTACGTACATGTACTGTATTTGACATTCTATTACCAGTTATCTTATTGCATTATACAAATTCAATAACATAGCAGTAAAATACAATAACACAGTCAAACATCTTATCCTTCTCAGTGTTCATCCCATGGAGACTGTTTTGGAGGCCAGGAGCTGTTGATGGTGGGGAGCATAGCAAGAATCCGAGAGGATCAAAGAATGGACCGCTCTGTATGGTTGCAGTGTTTTAATACACACATGAACCTCTTAATATTCCCACAGTTTCAACATGATGTACCTAATCTTCAAAGCAACAGCTCGACCAGAAATCTGAATCAGGATTTATACCAGGTTCCGTGAACAGTGAGTTGATCAACAAAACCAAACATTGTCTGTCTCGGCAGTCTTTCATGCCATTAAAATTATCAAAACCCTATAGTAATGACAAGGTTTGCCAGGACCCTTAATAATTGGTAGGAAGTAAATAGAGGTGATAATTAATATTATAGTTATTATATACAGCTCCTCCCTGACTTACTACGGGGTTAGGGACCCAAGTCCAGGTCGTAAGTCAAAATGGTCGTTAGTCGAAAATGCTTAAATAATACCTCTGTACATAGAAAATCTAAAATGGGTGTCTCTTTTTCTTCTCAGCACCACAAAACTCTCACTTTTAAGCTTGCCAGTCATTTTAAAGCGAATTACAAACGAAAATTTTCTCTGTGTACTGACGTTGGGACTCGAAAATACGTAATTTGACAAAATTTTGGTACGACTGAGACAGGTCATCAGTGCGGGTGGTCATAAGTCGAGTAGGTCGTAATTCGGGGAGGAGCTGTACACACTAGCAGTGTTAATTTTGTACTTACTCTCCTTAGCAGCAGTGAAGATGGTTCCAGGAAGTTTTGGATGAGGATCTGCAGTTTTCGCAGCCACTACAATGTTGGCCCCATCTCGAGCAGCTTTGAGGGCAATGGCTTTACCAATACCTCTACTGGCTCCGGTGATAAACAACGTACGGCCTGCGAGTTTTCTGGAAGAAATATACTGTACAGTAGGGGGAAGGGAAAAAACACTTTTATTTGAGTTGCAGGCTGCACTTTTCAGGCATCGTTTGTATGGCTGTAACAAACACCTGTGCAAAATTTCATCCCATTTCATGCATACTTACCCTGCCGCATCGCGAACGACTTTTTGTCAACTTTTAGTGTATACCATAAATTAGGTGTCATTTAATGTTTTCCAGGATAATGATAAATTTTACATGGGTGACATCGATTTAATTCACATGTACAGGTACACCGTATAGAAAATCATTACAAGTTCATATTGAAATTCTTTTTTGTGCGGAACCTTGGCATCATTTTCCTAGACAATAATCTTTGCCTAATATATCCATCTCTCGATTCGTATCCCGTCACTTCAGTGCAAGCTTCAGTCATCACTTTTATGCCTCTCTCGACCGCCTGAGTGCTGTTTGGCCACTTGGGCACCACTAATGGTGTCTCAAGAATGTCATTAACCTGTAGATTTGACAGAGAAGCAATGTAAGGAGGCTCAGTCTTGAGTTCATTCCTCCAGTTAATCATGGAATGATAGTTTTTTGCTTGCCACTTTAGTTTCGGAGTCACCACCTTTCTCATGTTGACTACAGGAGGCACATCCTCATTCCCATCTCCATCTTTACCCTCCTCATCAGTATAGTTTAACAAATTCTCGTCAACAGCAGCATCAGAATCTTCCTCCTCCTCTTCAGATCTGCCAGTGCATTCTTCCTTTTGCTGATTCTCCTCTCTAATTTTTCTTATCATTGAGACAGCTTTTTCTCTAACAGTCATGTCCTCATCTGCACACATACCAAGAAGAAGTTGATCTGTGTGGGCGAAGTATGCATTTCTCTGGACAGCCTTCTTCACTATCGTCTCCTCCTCACTATTCAGGTGTTTCATATATAGCAGGGACTGGAATACGTTCCTTGAGCCGTGTGTTACATAAGGGTGTATCTTGATGTAAAACCACATTGGAGCACTGAACTTTATTATTGTAATGACAATTCTTTTCAACTCATGGCTGGGTCTTGATGTTGCTACATACAGCCTGAGGATTCTACTCCATAAGGTGTTCCACCTTGACACACAGGGAGGACCTGGCTCAATAGCAGCCAAGTCATCTTCAACAACACCTGTGATAACTCCTTTACAAATCCTATACAGGTATTTCTGATCCCAGGACAGATCTTTCTCCACTTCATCATTAAACACAGGGAAATCAGGGAAACTGACTGGCTGGAAGGCGACAACTGGAAGCTCAGACAAAGACTCCTTGATCTGCTTTCCAATGGGACCACGCCAATGCTCAGGACCACTTGGTTTACCATCATAGTGATAAAAAACTGCGCGGAAAGGCAGCTCATTTCCGTGAAGCTGACATATGAAATAATGGAGCGGGTGACCAAGTAACATTTCAAGATGATGAATGACTCCATTTTCTGATCCTACATTTACATTGGTTCCATCACAACCAACACACACAATGGGCTGCTGGGTTAGATTTTTCTCCACCAGAAACTCGTGAATAGTTTTGGCAATCTGCTTTCCGTGTCCAGTCTTGGGAGTCACATGTGTGAGATATTCATTGCCAGGCTCAACCATGATGACATAATGATCTTTCACCATCATCCTCGAACTCCATTTCTCGGTCTTCTCATTCTTTATCATCACACGAGTGGCGGTCTTCTTACCATCAAAATAGAGTGACGTCAAATAATCTAAACTAGCCATCTCAATTTCTTGCCTCTTAAATCGGTATTTTTGTCTCGCATCCCGCAGCTTATGTGGTCCAATAACCTGACTCTTGTCATCCTTTGTGATAATGCCATAGTCAGTTAAGGTGGCAGTAGCAGTGGCAGCTCCAGCATAATTACTAATCAAGTATCGGTCACAAGCGGCAGCCAGTGTAGGGAGTCTTGTCCGGTTCTGTGAACTGGTGTCTGTCACACAACATTGAGAAATGAAATGAGAAAAGGCTGATAATCAATATAGACAGAGCACCATACTCATCTGCAACAAGACAACTTAAATGAAATAAGACATATGAAAAAAAAGTTGATAAACACTGAACAGAACATTGCACCGCCACAGCGGCTGTTTGGCTAGTACTGTAGGTAAATTTAAAAATTTCAGTAGAAAATGCGGCAGACTAAACCTCGACATATCAGCTTCAAATTTGGCATGGAGTCTTAGATATGTATAAGGAACAATGCCTGAAGAGTGCAGCTTTGAGCAAAATTTCACTGCCCCCTACTGTACAGTACAATGACCAATATGTAAACATACTGTATACTGTAATTATAGTAGATAAACTCCACCGTATTTATACAGTATGAACTAAAATAAATAAGTTCCTCCTTATACTCATGAGCAATACAAAAGTGACCTCTCATGTTAATCAGTGAGCAGAAAATCAAGTTATCAAATGAAAACCATCATTTACAAAGACAGGGAGACAGACAAAAAAGTGGATAGATTGAATTCTGTTATATTTCTTCCAATTATATTTGATGAGGGACATAAAGCTGGGCACACTACTGTATTAATGAATTATGGAAGCAGATGTTTCATTCCAGGTCACCACTAAATGACAGAATCATCAATTCATCATTATCATCACCATTTTACAGACATTTTCCACACTTGCATGAGTTGCATGCAGTGCTGGATTTAGACTGCATCATGTCTGCCTGACCAGCATGTATCTGAGTATTGCTTTACTACACTCAGGCCCAGTGGAGCCACTTTGTCAGTCAAAATTTTCCATCTGTTTGTGAATACAGAAAAGAAAGTGTAGACCTTATTTACAAAGGAGAAGAGATTAATAGCTTCAATACAACAGGAACCTGCTACCTCTCCAACCAGCATGAGTGAATGTGCAGCACATGGTACACAATCAGCATACTTGCATTATCTTTTGATCAATGCCGGTAAACCCTGGTACTTTCCACTCATGTTGGCTGCATTAGCATATGACTGACCAAGACAATATCCGATGTTAATGCCTCGAGAGGCAAAAAATTCAAGAATAAGTTCAGCCATGCTTTCTCCTGTATGTGAGTGAAGAGGGGATATACTTTATGAATCTCTCAACAGGTCCCTTACTATTTATATACCTAACAACGAGGGTCAGCTTATCTATATAGGTGACATCAGGTGCAGACTCCACTGAAAAAGAAAAATATCTGGCATCTTTAATCTCTTGCATCATCTACAAGAGCACCATGTCACCAATAATATCTATAAAGTCTTCATACATGGTTCTTTACAAATACGAAGGTCTGCCAGTGTGTTTTCAAATGTTCTTCAAGAAATGGGGTCATACTAAGCCAGCAGTTCAATCAGCCCAAAGAAGTTTCTATCATTTCCTGAGCCAAAATGCTCATTTGTTCTTCTCAGAGCAAGACCACACACAGCCAAGAATTTTAAAAGGCCAATTACATGTTTTAGGACTTTTTGCCAATACTGACACTCTTCATCAAACTGTTGGAGCAAGTTGTAATCTAAGACACTGAAATTAAGTAAGACATTCAGCATTCGTTTACATTTCAATATTTGTATAACTGGTATTTTTCATAACGATACAGATATCAAAATACCCTGTATAAGGTTGAGGTTAGAGGGGTCACAGGGGTCACTACAGTATATCTTTTGTACACAAAATTATGGTGAAATATTAAATTTTTATAATACATACGTGAAATTTTTTGGAAGGGCCCCTTGTATCTTTGGGGCCTGGGGCCATGGCCCCAATGGCCCCTTTGTAAATCTAATACTGGTTGCATGTGATTATTCGATGGCATGGTGTCCAAGTTTCCAAGTGACAAATTTGAAGCAATCTTTATGGCTGTATAGTGTATATCCTTCCTATAGCAAACCCACTTTTACTGTGTAGGAACTGAACATTATATGTAGGACTTCAAAGTGCCCTCTTAACTGGCAAAACAGGGTTGCCACTCTGAGGTAATCAAAGACTACCTGACTACCTACAGAAAATGATAGTTTCAGCAGTGAAATTACTTTTATTCCCAAATAAACTAAAATTCAGTTGTTTTGACAAACCCCCAGCCTTTTTTCTTTCTTTTTTTAATAGCCAAACAGCTCAGAATTCCTCCCTCTTCCCCTGGGTTCAAGACTAATCAATAACTTGCAACTGAGGAAAAAACAAGGAGTTTGAATAAAAGTTAACTTGGATTCAAAATAACAGACTCTGGCCTCAACATACCGAGAGCAGATTGGATAGTCATGGATCAAGCTTCTCAGTGTACTCCCCCAGTGTTCCCCTTATTGGATATTGATAGGGTAGAGTGATAGGAAGGCTGACATTTATATCTAGTGATCAGCAGATTAACCCTAGGAGACACTGAAGGAGGACAACCCCAGGGACTAACTTTAAGTTATGTGGTAGAACCCCCAAACTAAAACTGTATTCTACAACCATTAATTGATGGCTACTTCGTGACACATTCCTATTCACTTAATCTCTAAGGAGATCAGAATCGTACTGTTTTATTAAATCTCATGTACAAAATGATACGACTGTGAGAGTACTTTGGAGTCAAGACTAGATAAGGTGTATCATGACAGCCTTAAAGAACAAAAATCATTGATCAACTTAATTTATCCAAGCCAATTACATTTTGAGGCTGATGGGAGTGATGGAAAGGGAAGGATGATTGGTTAAAGGGTGATTTGGTTTAAAATAACAACCCTAGCCAAATAATTGGGATTTTAATAATAATATAACTGGTCTTTTGTTTCTGAAAGGTACCATTTCTCGTAAAGAATTCACTAGCGCACAAAATAAGGCATCCCTGGATTACAGGAGGGCTCCGTTCCCGATTTTTTTTTCATAAAGCGAAACCATTTTTCCCATATACATTACTGTACTTCCATTATAAAAGTGGAGATGCGTCCCTAAGGAAACTTTTTTTAGGCCCAAAAATGTGATACCTGTACAAGCACATACAGTATATGTATGAAATTAAGACAGTTTTAACCACATACAAAAAATCATTCATGATGTACAGTAGGTCCTTAAAATTTGCAGGGGTCAGGTTCTCAAAATGGCTGCGAATAGCCAAATCCGCGAATAACATTTGCTGTAATCCGCAAATAATCGAGGTCTGCGAATTGTCAGGGCATTCTGTACCATGATGATAAATGAACAAAACACTTGAATTTTAATTACCAGAAATGATGAGTGCTGCTGGAGGTAGTCAGGTGAGGTTGTGGGATCAGAGTTACCTCCTTAAACCATCAAGTTTAATGTCCAATGCAATTCCTTTATGGAGTTTTTTATCACCAATGCTTTCACTTCAACTTGATGGTCCTTTTCCACTCGTCTTGAACAAGGGTACACAGTAACATACTGTAGATGCATAACTGAACACAATTTGGGCAAAGTATTCAAAATGAGTATTAACAGTGTTGTTGTGGCTGCTACCAGCTGGAGAGGCAGTAGAGCTAAGCCAGACTCCACATGAAATAAATTGCATAATTTCGGTGAAATTATTTGTTCTATATCACGACTTTTTCTTTTGGAAATCTTAATAAATTAACCAAAATTCCAGAAGGGCAAATAAAGTCCTAAGCACAGATGCAAAACTGAATACCTGTACAAGCTAAGGAAAGAATTTTAACTGAGCAGCTCATTGTTGCAGTGAATGCTAGCAAACAAGGTGAGCGACCTTCTAATCACCTTGTGGCCACCACAGATGCATTCACACATAATATTTTATATTCCAGGTATTTTTGTAAAAATTTTGATTATAAGATGCAATTTTTTCTTCAAAATTCCAAGAGGGCAATTTTTTTCCATAACCCGAAATTAAGGTGTAAATTTGAAAATTCCGTAATGGCAAAAATCTGTTACTATGAAAATATCATACTGTGTTACTCAAGTAAAATTTTCTCAAAGAACCATTTTTGGTAAAAATAAAGTTTTCCTCAGGTCATTTTTTTTATCATGTGTCTAATAATTTGCAATTAACCAAATACAATAACATATCAGCTTTTCGATGACTAGTAACTGTTTACTGAATGATTACCCTTTTCATTACCTCACTGTACTAGTCACCCGGATACCAGTGATAAGTTATTCATTATAAGCTTACCCTGTGTTAGCTGCCATGGCTTCTGGGAAAAGAATAACATTATCCACAAAACAGATTGACCCAAGGTAAAGACTTATCTTGAGATAAAGTTATCAGTCATTAGCAGCTCATATATAATCACCTTACTCCTATCTTTAAAAACGTTCCTCGTGCTTTCATAACAGTGTAAGGGATGTGATTGGGAAACATCTACCCGGGAAGTTTTTTCTGTATTTAACTTAATTTCTCACATTGTTACTCATTTCGTGAGCGCCTAATAGTTAAAATACACAGTACCCAAAACCAAACATGTATTGCAACAATAGTTTTCATGCATATTGTTAAAAATTCCTTTACACATTTACTTGTTACTAAACTTGAATTTGTTTAATATTTTTAATTGTGCACCATTATTGAGAGAAGAGAAACTAAAAGGTACCTCAGCTTTTTTTGGCACTGTATTTTGTGAGAATTCAAAATTTAATACAGTAAACCCCCGCTTTACACGGTTTCACTTTACGCATTTCCACGTTTACGCGGTACCCTGCCGAAACCGGAATGCTCACTTTCCGCGGTGTGTGTACCCTTTTACACGGAGAGCGGCGCGAGCAGGGTGCGCACAAGGTCGCCCAGTCATCAAAACATTACCGAGTTCTTCACCCGCCACCCACCACAGCCGGCCCAAGTCAGTGATAATGATAGTGAGGATATGGACTTATATGGACTTCAAGGGGTTTGACAAAGAGGCCCTGCAAGCCTCTATGGTGGATAGTGATACAATTGATACAAGTGATACAGGTGAGGGCCAATAATCTGCCCTCTGCCTCGGAACCAACCCCCCATCCCCGTGTGCCCAGCCATCTTTTCTACTACTTTAAGTGTTAAAAAACCTAATATTATTGATATTTCTCTTAATTATTAATTGTGTGTGCATACCATCATAAAATTAAGAAGTTATTTTTCTACAACGTAGGTATTGTGTCTGAAAAAGTGGAGTTTGGGGGTCGGCCCGGTCTCTATTTCAATTAATCCCATATGTTGTTGTTCACTTTACGCGTTTCTCACTTTACGCGGGCCGCCGTGGGTTCAATTGACCGCGTAAAGTGAGGGTTCACTGTACTTACCAAAGGGATTTACCTCTAATGCACCAGCAACTGGGGTTTCAATAGCATATGTAGTACAGTACTAAAATAAGAAAAATAAGCTGTTCCATGATATATATATATACAAATAAAATATTAAGTTTTCTTTCCCATGTAATAGTCACTCATTTGGTCTGCTTAGTCTTAGTTTTAATTGCATCAGGGAGAGTAAATACTTCTGTTTTGTTGCTGGAAGGCCTCTCTGCTCTTCCTTGATTTTTGAGCCATTTCCTCACACTCTGTATTCTTTGATTCTAACTGCGTCTTTTGCAGGCAGTAAGTAGAAGGCAGCTTCCAAACAGGGAGGTACTACTGCCTGGGAAGATATTAGAAGCATAATGTATTGTCTAATGGTAGACCCTGCTGCCATATGGCATCAGGAAAATTGTGACCAAGTCCCAGGTTGCTGATCTTACTTTCTGCCTCATTTACACACAATTGCAGGGTCTCAATTGTTCCCTTACCTTGACAACACAACATACATAGGTCATTTCCCACTCTTTTTTTTATGGCTCTTACTATTATTATTATTTATTGATTTTTTATTAGTACACAATTATTAATATTTTCTTTATTATAATTGTTATTTATTTTTATTAATTTTATTATCATTATTATTATTATTATTATAATAATATTATATTCCCCCCAGCCTTAATGTGGTTCATTATAAAATGACCTGTGACCAGGTGGGGTAATGCCCATTAAAAAAAAAAAAAATCAGAGGGTTCAAGGTGGAAGATGAAGTGTAACCATGAGTGTATTGATATACAGTACCAGCACAAAAGATTAGATTAGATTACTGTACTGTACTATAATAACTTTACACTCACAAAGAAACTCACAAACAGGAGTGTACAGTATAGTCTGCATTTACAAGGTCAATTGAGCCCGTGGAGAAACGCGTAAACGAAATAACAGAACATATGGGATTAACTGAAATAGAGACTGGGCTGACCCCCAAACTCCACTTTTTCCGACACAATACGTACGTTGTAGTAAAAATAACATCTTAATTTTATGATGGCATACACACACAATTAATATTTAAGAGAAATATCAATATTATGTTTTTTAACACTTACATTAGTAGAAAAGATGGGTCGGCACACGTGGATGGCGGCTGGTTCCGAGGCAGAGGGCAGATTAGTTGCCCTCCGGTGAATCACTTTCACTACTCGCAAAGGTTTGCAGGGCCTCCCAGACAAACCTCTCAAAGTCCATATCCTCACTATCACTATCACTGACTTGGGCTGGCTGTGGTTGTGGTGGGTTGCGGGCAAAGAAGTCCTTAATACTACATTGACGACTAGCACTGATGTTGTCGAGATAGATCTGGATTTACAGCTCCATAACTTTCGTCAGATGGTTATTAGACACTTCATACCGATGCTTGTCTGGGTCGTTGTCAAGGATGAGCTTAATTTTCTCCCCCAACTCGATGATTTCCTTCACACAATCATGACTTGGTCCAAGTAATTCAAGGTTTTTCTCGGGTGGTGGGAGTCCACCGGAAGCCATTCTTAGGGGAATAGCAGGCACAAGAGAGAACTGTATACGCGGACTGAGAACAATGAGACTGTCCCGGCTAGGTCAGCGACTTCTACCCTCTGGTGGCAGGGCACGTCATGTTACATTAGACCAATCACAGCTAGCGGCGGAGGGAATGCGTGGGTGGTAAGGATGTGTGGCCCAGCCACAGTCCGATACATCATATGACGTCAGCGATAACGTAAGAGCGGCCTAATGCGCACCCCTCACCGCGCCGCTTCCCGCGTATGGTCAAGAATGGACCGCGTGAGTAAAAAATGGGCCGGCGAGTCTGGACCTCACCCCATAAATGACCAAATTTACCGCGTAATTAAAACATTTCATTCTGGCAAGGCACCGCGAAAATGACCAAACGCGTAAACAAAAACCGCATAAATCCAGACTATACTATGTAATGTTTCATATGAGACTCAAAATTCAGAAAGACAAAAAATGTCCTTCAAGAAGAAAAAAATGTAAAAAAGTAAACTAAATGCTATCTGGTGAATGTGAACACTGCCAGATGGTACAGTAAGAAGCATCAATATAACTCCTCATGTGTTATCGCCACTGGCTTCAACTACAGTGCTGGCGTTGCTTTACCCGAACAAACATTCAATCTATCAGCCTGCGAACATGTACGCCCCCCCCCCACGCGACCTGCAAAAACAAGATGCCCTGATTCTGCTGAGTGTATGATTTAAAGTGTAGCGTGGCCGCCTGGCCTCCATGAGGCAGATCGCCTTCTCAAGTGATGCTGTGAGGACCATGTAGCCACCAGCCCTCTGTGGTAAACACCGACTCCCAATCCTGGCCAAATTTTGTGCTGGAACAATTTACACAGTACTATTGTCCCTTGGAACACCATACTGGTTCGCATTGACCCACACTTGTAAGTACAGCCAAAGTAATGACATACCCCTCAGTACTGAAATATTGTGGACTAATTATGCCTACTCGTTTCTTCTTTGTCTGGAGAAATACGACAATGCGGAATGAAGTGTAACTAAGTTTAATAGAGTTATGAACTTTGTATCATGTCACTATGCTTAATAATCAATTGTAATTAAGATGAAATCATCTGAGACTAACTAATTATGTATCTGATAGATCACCATGTAATACTAATGAACGCCTTGTTCTCTGCAGGTTTTGACCACATCAATAAATATTGAATGCGTCAAAAGGTGAGTTTCAATCATTTCCTTCGATTTGCCCGTCGCCTGAACGTCCTTAACCAAGCCTTTACATCGTATAATGCAAAACACTATCTATGATAAACTGAACACAGCCAAAAAAATTAAAAACAATTACTGTGAAGATCTTTGGAGAGAGAAGGAAATTAATTAAAGTCAACGATGAAGTGAGGAAAACAAAGATACAGGTTGTACCTCTCTAGTCCGGCAACCTCGAGACCTGACCGGTGCCAGACCATGGAAATTGCCAGACCATGGAAATTCACCCTTTTCCTGGATAGATAGTGACTTGTGTTTATGCTTGGAAGCACTAGCACCACTTTCTCTGCATTATAGTCTCTTTGAAGGCATATTGAAGGGTTAAATGTCGTATTGTAGCTTCTCAAATTTCGCGAGTTTTTAATTCTTAACGTATTTTATTGGAACACACAAAAAAATAAATAAATAAAAATTTTGACGGCGGAAACTTGAATTTCGACGGGTTTGAACAGCCCACCAACATGCAAACGACGTGCATAATCGTGTAAACAGCGTCATTTCTCTTATGTACAAAAGATTCATTATTGTTTATTACTGAATGTCATTTTTATTGAATTAATGTTTATGTGTGCAAAATGAGCAATACAATTCATTAATAATACGTAGAATATTAAAACACACGAGGAAATGACACAGCATTGTTTTCGTTGATTACAAAACCAGTGACTGACTGATTCTACATATAAAACTGAAGAAAATAAGACCTTGGCTGTAGCTGTAGTAAAATTAATATGGTTGTTTTAAGTAATCTTATTTAATGTTAATAAATGGAACAATAGAAGTAGCTAACGATAATGGTAAAGAAAAAGAGAGATCGCATATGTAAGTGCGCATGCACACACGTGAAAACATATCGTCATTACTTTACATAAGAATATGAAAGCAACACTTATTTACTGTTCATATATATTTTAATTAATGTTTCTGAATTTGCTTTTATTGAATTAATGTACGTGTGTGCAAAATTAACAATACAATTTATTAATAATACGTGGAATATTAGAGGAGACGAGACCGCTGCCGGCATTGTTTATGTTAAAGCTTACGAAACCAGTGACTGATTGGTTCTATATATAAAACTGAAGAAAATAAGACCCTGATTTTAGCTGTAGTAAAATTAATGTAAAAAAAAT